CCTGTCAGATTCATCACTTCATAGGAGGAGCAGGCAGTCATCACAATTTATATACTCACACTGTGTGGATGCACTTCCTTGAGGCCATTGCAAAACCAAATCCCCTCATGTTCCAGCTAAATGATTTCACAACTCTGTTATTCTAATTAACCCATTTCCTTTTGTCCTTTATGATGCTATAAAGGTTACTTTGTAGTATGAGGCGTAACAGTGTATATCATTGGTATTTAATTAATTACCTGACAATCCCACCTTGTTATAGTTATAAAGGATTAAGGGTGTAATTCTCATCACGATATCCTATATCAATTCTCTCTGCCAGAGATCCGATGTTTGCTGATACTAAAATGTAACAGTAAGTATAATTTTAAAAATGTACTGAGCTCCACTTTTAGGTGTTATTTAAATATAAATAAGGACCAATGATGACTTTCCAATTCAGCATAAACCCTTTTGTGATAGGAAGCATTTACACTGGAAAAACACATTTCCAACATTGCAGTGGAAGTTTTCTTTAAAACCTAACATTCACATTTACTGTTGTGTGTGTGCTTTTTAATCCAGAATACTTCCGTAACCAGGACTTGTTTCTGATGCGAAAGTTGACTTTGTGTATTTTTATTGGCTGCTACAGGTCAAGTTCAGTTTTCATAGAAAGCACTTGACCCTCTCAAGCAACAGATAAAATTCAATCTATCAAATGTGTCAGTCCACGCTGACTCAAAGACATGCATGTGAGACACGTGTCAGCCCTGCGAAGTCTGGCTGCACTGCCTGGCGCTTTAAGTCCAGTTTGAAAAGAACAGCGCTTCACCAGAAATGTGTTTGTATATGGCTGGCTGTCAAAATAAAAGCACACAAGACATGGATGTTTACGTTTTGCATCGACATCATCGGATTGCAGGATGTTTGATCAATGTCTTGATCCAGATCGATGGATTGTTACATCCCTATAAAGAATACCATTGGTGCTTCAAGATTTTTCATTTGGAGAAGACAGTCTGTCACTCACTTTTTCCAGTAAAGCTAAATTCTGATAAAGTGCCAACAGGGCAAAATCAAGATATGTTAACAGCATGCATGACTGAAACACAAAAATGAGAAAAAGTCATTACTGGACATAATCAAAATACTAACTCCATCCGTCTAAGAACGAAACCATGCCATACTCACCACAGTGAGTTTCACTTTTCAATAGAAATACGGACTTCTTTTTCAAATTTCAATAATTTGAAATAGTAGTTCTATAAAGAAAGAGAAACTCAGAGCAGCAGAGTAGTGAATGTGATATTATTCTGTTTTTGTATTTTGTTGAGAGAAATCTTGTGTAAAAATGTACCATTTACTGAATGTATTATAAGAGTGGAGTGAGTTTTGAGTTTGTGTTAACAATAAGCAGCATTGTGAACAAACTGAAGCAGGAATAGATCAGAAAATAGAGGCTTCTTAATAAAAAAGATAATGTACATTTCTAAAAGCCATTGAAATTAGAAATATAGGCTTGTCTATATATGGGAGCCTGTTTTAAATAAAGTCTGAAGTTGGGTAATGTACATTAAATGCCACTAGTCAACAATTTTTGGTACACATTAATCTAGTCAACATAACTATATTGTAATGCATGGCTGATAGTAAATCAGCACAATTATCTAAATCAACAAAATCCTCACAAAAAAGAGAAAATTCACCCTCAATGAAAACAGCTTTAGCTCCTCTTTCTGTCTTTTCTATCACCCCGTGACATCGACCACTTTCAGACAACCTTCCCTTACCTCTCAAGCAAAAGCACAGATGCTGCATTAGTGTCAACACAGATATACAGCCGGTCCACAGTCTGGCTTGGGTACTGTGCATTTTTTATTCAATTGTGTGAGGATTTAAAGGTAGTAGAACTTTGCAAACCATAGAGAAGCCGTATAATCCTTCTACTGAATATGAAAATCATAAAAATTGGAAATACAGGGTTCTCACGTTATTGGTGATATATTTTACCTGCCTGCCTCTCATTTCTGCCATCCTACCTCATCACACAACCTGTCCACGCTCTGCTACACCTGCCTGTTTATGTCTGTGTGTATACATGTCTTCTTGGCATATGTGAGTGATTTAATATGCACACATGCTTGTGTGTGTGTCCATCCCATCATATCTCTGTCAGTGTCTTCACATAGCATATCCATCCGTCATACTGTTGCACCCTGCACCCACAGTAAACATTAATATCTGCGCTTCACATCATCTACCACCAACAAAATAAGAGTGCTGACTCATTACAGCTTGATGGTGGAGCAGGGGAAGGAAGAGAAACACAGTGGATAAAGAGGAGGTGAGAGCAAAAACAACCGGCCAGAAAGAGGGTGGAAGAGTGAGTGAGTGATAGAAGGGTAAGAGGTAAATGGATAAACAGGAGGAACAGGGAGACAGTGATAAAGAGCGAACGAAAGAGCGAAAGTGTGAACGTGAGAAAGGCAGTGACAGATGGAAGCAGAAACAAAGAAAACTGCTCGCCAGTCCTCCCTCCCTAAATTGATTCTGACTGTCGGCCATGGCGCCTGATGGATATCTGAGCCTTGATTGGAATTTACATGCCAGACACAATGCTCCCCCCTCCATCCCTAGCACACCCAATAACCCACTGTGCTCCCAACCTGCTTTGAGTGATAAGCACAATGAGAAAGTACTGGCATATTTAGCTCCAATAATGACACTCAGCAGAGTTTGAGGCCCAGAGAATGATGCATTGTTTATGTGAGGGAGTATCGTTTCAATAGATGATTAATGCCGAAGTAGCTGCCATTGCCATGCCAAATTGGATGTGTGCAAGGGAAGAGGAAAAGGGCTCACTGCTAGATGGAGTGGATCTATCACATCAAGATATTTTGCTTTGGAACAGTGTTTGCTTTGCAAGCCTGCACACCTCCAGAAGACTTTCAACAGGAGCAAGAGCACTAGGGATTCACTGTCGTTTCCCAACTCTACACATCAATAAGAATAAACAGGCAACATTACTTCATAATCTGAGACTCCAAACAGAATATAACCTGAATATAAAACACTCCTGCAAATAATTCAGAGGTAGAAGCAGATTTGGGTAATACTGAAAGTTGATTTTTTTCAAAGCTAAAAAGAAAAAAACATTCAAGTTCTTGTTTTCCTGGCTGTTTCTTTATTTACCTACATGTTTCAGGAACACAGCTCCCCAGCTACTCACTGCAGGCCTCATCCCATTTGTTCACTCTCAACCCTCTTCTGTGTCCCAATGGGAGCAGTACTAGATACAGTTTATTTTGAAATGAAGTTAACTCCATAGTTAATATAAAGATGTGCTGCAAATTTAAGGAAAAAAAAATGTTTGTTTAACCCACACAGTGAGGGGATTCAGTGATTCTCTTATGCTGTGGTGGGAACTTTGCTGGTATGTTTTGGCTCCACTTGTCTCCTCAGAGGGAAGGGTCACTGCAATCAGTACAAAGTTGTTCTGAGTGATCACCTTTATCCTGTGATGAAACCTTTCCATCCTAATGGGAGTCATCTCTTTCAGGATGACAGTGCCCCCATCCACTAGGGGTCACTGAATGGTTCACAGTCACCAGGTCTCAGCCTACGCTGAAGCAGTTACAGTGTCTCTACCACCATCATCAAAACACATGGTGCCAGTACCTTAATAAAGCACTTTATGATGTATTTTTCCTTTTATTTGTCAGCCATCTGTATCTGTCTAGTCTGGAATCCGATTATTGCAAAATATTTAATTTTAAAGGAATCAGATCAGTACTGGGGACACAAAAATTGGATTGGGACATTGCAAATCCATGACCTCAGATAACTCTTGGCATTTTCCTTTGATTCCATTACATGTTTTATTCTAATAGTTTTTCTATGTTGATGTCATATTTTCTAACCAAGTCATGACCTCAACTATTCAGAGTCAAAAATTTCTTGCTGTGCTTACCTATGTTGCCTGTTCGCATGTGCAACCATCCCCTGACAATGGTGTGGACCGTCAAATCTGCGCTCATCAGCAGGTTGTCCTCTCCCATGTAATCTGTGGTCAGCACCTCTACTTCATGAAGAGCCTGCACTGCTGATTTACCATGACGCAACATATACTGGGAATGCAAAACAGACAGGAGAAAAGGACATGACTTGCATTTATTTGAGAGACTGCATGTGAACGCTGATGTTCTGAAATGGGCTGATCAAGACATAAAGGAAAATAACAAAAGACAGACTAGCTAGAAAATGAAAATGTGTGAACAGCTTGGGAACTGCTGGAGTTTGCATAATTGCTTAATAGATGAGGTCATATTCAAAATTGCTCAGCTCTGTTGTAAACTATTAATTTAATTCTTTCCCATTAAGTGCTTTAAAAGATTCAATCAAATTAGCTCCACATAAAGGTTGACAAGAGGGTTTCTGTGCAATTAATAAAAAAGCTGAACTAAAAACACCTAAATTAAAAAAGCTTTTAATCTGTGGTTTGTTCCTCCTCAGAAGTTAAAATGGGAGGAAAAGTCCAGATCCTTGAATGCAGAGTACACAAGGTGCAACAGTGCTGGGGTTGTTCAAAATGAACCGAGTCACACTCGACAACAAACGTTTTCAACTCCGATATATTTTTTCTGTTTACTAAAACACCCCTCATGTTTGCATATGTCAAAAAATGAAGATCATTTGTGTTTACTCTGCTCCCAATACAGGCGGAGAGGGACCATTCATAACTATTATGAAATGTCTTTTTGTTTTGAGAAAATGTGGTTGATACAGTGAGTTGTTTTTATATTTAACATTTTATTATCCATAGTAGTTTTCTCACTAAAGCCAGGTTCACTCCATTAAATGACTTAATAAAAGCTGTACACAATGCTTGAATTCATGACAGATGCACCGCACTGTGATGAAATTAAGTCCTAAGTTGACAACGCACGTGTAAACAGACCATGTTTGTTCCTTTTTCTGATGCTTAATTGTGGAAATTTGGCTGGTGATTTGCAGTCTGAGTTTAATTGGTAATACTATATCTAACAATCATTACTTATGACTTTCACCTTTTTACCTTGAGTTCAATGGCTGTAGAACCTATGAGGAGCAATGAGTCACTGTCCCAGATGTCGATGTGCATGGTGTGGAGGGCTAGGTAGCGAAGGAACCAGCGCTTCTCTCCTGGCCTCAGGAAACTGTCATCAACTCTGAACCTCACCTCCAGACCTGGAGAGCCTGGACACAGGGAGAGGAGACTTCATTCAAAATAGGGACTATTTATTAAATCTGTTATGAATCCTACACTGTTAATTACAGCTGGATAAACATATAGATCTTCTGATAAATGTGATTTTTATTTAAATGCTTCAATATCAATTCTTGAAATCCTGAGATTGATCTGTGATAAAGTGTATGCAGAGGTTAGTTGCTGTAAATGGTTCGATTCCGGGTGTTCTAGTACAAGAAATATCAAAACCAAGCAAAAGGGAATACCAGTTCACAAGCAAGAAGTTATTTTACAATATGTATCTTGTTTTGTGTGCAGATTCCCAAAAGATATAGACAGGCGTGGACAGCAGCACTAAGGAGAACGCTGAACTAAGTAACCACTCAAGTTGTCTGCAGCTGGCAAAAGAAGACCACAGCAGCACTGGACAGTCATCGTATTTAAAAGAAGTTAGTTTTTACATTTCCACACCATCTTTGCAAAGTTAGTGCCACTAGCATTTTTTTTCTATATAAATAGAGCTCTAAGGAATTTTATTTGTGCTTTTATTTTAAATCAAATCCAATCAACGTTTATTTATATAGCGCTTTAAAACAACCAGGTTTGACCAAAGTGCTTTACACAAGTATAAAAAAGTAAAATGAAGTAACAAGAGCAAAAACAAGTTAAGGTTTAAAACATTTCAACAAGGAATACTTCACACTAGGGATGGGCTTTTCAAGCAAAAATGCTATTTGATATTTGCTGGAAATGATTTGACAATTATTTGAAGATCCAAAAGTTCTGCCAGCTATGAAGGGGCTAGGTCTTTAAAGGTGAGCATCAGACTTTTAAAATCAATCCCAAAACATATAGGGAGCCAACAGAGGGAATAAAGAACAGGAGTTAAATGTTCACACTTGGGATTATTGGATAAAAGCTGAGCAGCAGCATTCTGTACTAGCTGGAGATGAGAAAGAAAAGACTGGTTGGCTCTTGAACTGATAAAAGCATGAATTACTCTTTCAAGGTTCCTGTGAGTAAGGAAGTACTTTACCTTAGTGAGCAGGTGAAAAAAGTTCATTTTTACAACACAGTTGATCTGTTTGCCATATTTTAATTAGGTTGAAATTATATAAAAGGATAATAATAATAAAGATAATCACCTTTATTTGGCCAAGTATGTTACACACACGCCAAGTCAACCGATGGCTCTAACCATTGGGGGCAAACTGGTTTATGAAAATTTATTACTGTTACACTGCAGTAAGTAGCAGTAGCGGATTATTCAGTAATGTAGTCTTTCTCTTATGCTATCAGGGTTATCCAAGCTTAGGCTTAGAAGCAAGTGTTACAAACGGGTTGTAGCAAGTGAAGGACCCTGTGCTTCTGGAGCTTGAACCATGCTAATTAAAAGTAAGGACATCTCTGCCTTGGTTGCATCATTTTTAACCATTCCTGTTCTTTTATCTCTCTCACAATGTCCCCCATTTATATGGAAGTGCAAGGCTAAATTAATCAGTCATCCATTTGAATGATAAACTGCACTGGGGCAATGGCAAAGTAAGTAAACACATCTCAAAAACTGAACTAAAACACTGACAAAAACAACACAAACAGATGCACAGCCTGGAGAATAAATAAGAGATACAGATCTGATCATTATTTTAGTCTTTCCTTTCATTCTTTCAGTTATAATATCTGTAACCAGCTGTTAACCTTATGAATGGAGCTAAACTGGTATGGCCAGCATCTACTGGGATTATTTGGGAGTTATTATTAGTTCCCATGATTGTGCTGCATGGGAGCACAATAACCGGGAAGTATGGGACCATTATCCAGAAGCAGCACCCTAGGGTTCCCACAATTCAAGATGATGATGGCTCCTAACACACTGCCAAAAAAGAGTGATTTCATGAACAGTCATGACTTTAATCAACAGTTCCGCAGTCGACACTTCTGGACATTGAAGAGGAGTAAATTTCCCTCTTCAGCACTCAGAATAAAAAGGTTTTCCTTTTCAGAAAAAATACTATACACACAGTTTGAGGATTGAAACTGCTCCAAGGGCAACAGACGGCTGAAATTGTCGTTCAATACTTGGCACTGTGAGCCGTTTGTTATTTTGTCCACTCCTGCAAGGTCACATGCAGGGATGCGCACACCAGCTATTCCAATTTGATTCAGTTCATTTAAAGTAAAAGCCCAGATTGAATTTGAGAATGTAAAATGAAATCACTGTGATCCTCTGATGACCGCTCTCCAGTGTACCGACTTAAAATTTGACTCATCCTCTAAGCCGTTCAAATGAAGCGGACCCCATCAGTGATCAACTCAGCTGGTGAAAGGATACAGTCAGTTGCAGCGCAAACCCAAACTGTAGCAGCATGTTAATGCTACCATGTCTGTATTAAAGGTGTGAGTTTGGGTTTTTGTGCTAACTTGACTCCCAGAGTTAATGAAGAACCAACTGACCGTGTAGAAACGAAATAGGACAACCACTTTACTTGGCCAAGTATGTTACACACACAGAATTTGTTTCCAGTAGAGAACCATCGGCACCAACTCACACCAATGGCTCTAACCATCGGGTGCAACTTGGGGTTCAGTGTCTTGCCCAAGGACACTTCGACATGTGGACTGCAGGCACCGTGATTCAAACCTCCAACCTTCCGGTTGGGAGATGACCGCTCTAGCCACCAAACCACAGTCGCCCCCCCAGTAATAAGGGCTTGTGGTGACAGCCCTGCTGTGTTAAAGAGCCCAGCAAGGCCCTCTGACTCTTTCCAGATCAGAACTGAAGGAAAACTTTTCTTTCTTTTTTTTTTTTTACCAAACACACACATACATTTAATGCAGTATTCCCATGATGTATCCAGACAGACAGACAGACAGACAACCTAACTGGAGGCCACCACTGCTACCAGTGAGTGTTTCTTAGGGCTCAAGTGCTTTCTTTTGATAGCAAATGTCAATCCCTATAGTTAGGGTTGGGGCCCAGCATGGTTTCATTGGTTCTGATTCCAGTATCAAGTAGACATTTAGAATTCAAATCCTTTTCAATCACTTCTCAGATGTAATTTACCTTTTCATGGTTTCAAGTGATTGATAAAATAATCAATTTGCAATGAATCTAAATGACTAAATGCATGTGGAAACAACTTCCCCATGAGCTTTCAGTCATATCACATGATCTTCATTGTTGGTGAATGGAACTAGCTCAGGTGTCACGGATCTTTCTCTGGCTGTTCACTGACTCCTGAATGATGACTGACCCTTCACCACTTGATTCTGCAACTGGATTAGGTACTGTATTTATAGACTGCTGATGTGAGATGCAGTTCAGCTTATACATGGATCTTTAAGCTTTGTTATTTTAATTCATGTACTAATCTAAGTGAAGAATGAATTTACACATCCAAAATATAATTTTATTCTCAATGTATCAAATCACATACTACAGTAATATTCTGTTTTCTTCTCATCAAGTAGAAAAGCCAGGACATACTATAAGTCTTTGCAGTGAAAAGTGACAAAAATTTGGTTGTGGTGGTTTGCAGCTCCTTAAAGGTAAGTTACAGTTAAGGCAGGCTAAAGAGAAGGTTTGTCAGACTGCTGAGTAAAATATGCTCACACTGGACCATTTTTTTCTGATCAGACATTTGAAAGAAACATAAAAACACAGAACAAAAACTTAATAAAGGAACCTTCATTTGATCTCAAGTAGAAAACTGATTATGATGGACCAGAGGGCCACCAGTTCAATCCTTGGACCTGCAGGATTACATCTGGGTGGGACTGGTGAGAAAGCAGCGCTTGCCTCACCCACATTAACACCACTGTGGTGCTCTTGAGTAATGTCCTCAACCCCAGCTATTCAGTGGCCACAGGTCAGTCTGTGGTTGTACTGGGCAAAAGAGAGGTGGCCTCTCACTGGTTCTACCCTGAATAAATAAAGGTAAAACAACAGTCTTGTTTTACAGCATGCAAGAAAAACATAAAGAGACAGGGGAAGAAAGACAAAGACCAAAGCATCCTTCAGATTTCTGTGCTGCTTCAGAACTCCTCTTACTTTAACCTCACTCATGCAGACTCCCTCACCTCCCATTTTCACACCCCTGTCCCCAGCCGCCCGCCAGCTGTCTCCATTTGGACCATTAATTCTCCCAGCATGCTCTGTGCAGTGAATGGGTGGCAATGAGAGCACAGAGGGAAAGCAGGAGTGTGTTGGTGCTCACAAGTGGGGAGGAGCTGACAGATCGAGCTCAAGGGTTGTACAGGGCTGTGTGTGTATGTGTGTGTATGCACATGCAGCTAGGTCTACAGATGAGGAGCAGCACCCAGTCCCCCCTACAACCTGGATGGCTGAAAGTCCTGCCAGGGATCAACAATTCTCTACATAGCTGCAAAGGCTGCAGGCAAAGACAACAGTAAGAAGGTACAAAGCGTACAGACGGAGGCAGAGAGTGACGCAATCCAGAGTATCACAGCAGACTAAGGCTACGTGTACATGTACCAGGTACCTTTTGTCTACAAGTACAAAAAACACATATTGGCCACCTAGGGCTCCTCAATGCAGTATCATGAACCTAATACACTTTGTCAGATTTGATATAATGGGCTGATGGGTTTTTACAGGTGAGCATATTTTCATCATGTTTTCTCTAAAGCAAGGTGGCCACACATTTTGATTCGCAAGGCACTGTATCAGGTTAGGATGTATAGTACTGTATAGCAGGAGACTGTCCTCTAAGAAGAATGACAACAGGAAGTAGAAGAACACTGTTGGAGCTGGAGTCTCAGACCATTTGCCTCCCATTTTCGTACGAACAGTCAACACTGGTTTCATTTAACAATTACCATGATCACTCCCTAAACTTAGTCAAGTTATTAGTATAACCATTGTTAGGTAATTTCTTAGTTAGATAGATATTGATTAGAGATCTGTTGTATTAGAAGATGTTAGTGTAGCCAGGATGTCTTCCTCAGGCTGTTAAATGCAAGGTTAGTTAAAGCAGAGAAAGGTAATGTTATGTCAAATTGTTTTAGATACACACCACAAAAACAACAGCCACACACATTATTTTCTTCATGTTTTGTCTACTGCTCTGCTCAGCTGCCAAGCTGGCATATCAGGTGACGTCACGGTTTGACGCCCTGCGTAGAATGGGCTAGCCCAGAAATGATTAATATTGTATAGGAATTCTTGGTTCGGGGTTTTTTCTGCTTCCGGGCTGCTTGGGCAGCCTGGGGGTTGGAAGATCTCTGGACTCGAAGTGTTAATTCTTGCCTGTGCCTCTTTGAATAAACCAGCACGGTTATATTTTTTATATACTCAAGTGGTCTGAGTCGTCCCTCTGAGTTCCTGGTTTGAAAGAACCGGATGAGGCTTTATAATGGAATACAGCCTTTACCATGAACACAAAGGTTCCCTAAATGTAGCACAAACCACAATCATTCCCTTTTTGTAACCTTGTTGTTTTTAGAAAAACATTTGTGCTTATGTAGAACTGTTTATAAAAACTATGAAGCAAAGTTGTAGACACAAAGCATACTGAGTGTTGCAGATTTGCACCTGGTGAACAAGATTTCACTGATCTACAAATTTTGAACTTTCCATTGAAACAACAGGTTTCAGGTTTGGTGTAATACCTGAATGGCAACAGATCATTTGCTTAAGCAAAGTTGTATCTTGTGAATTGAATAACTATATTTGCTTTGTCTTGAGAGGACAATTTGTGCATGTCTATAAAAAAGTACAGAGCCAAGAGAAGGAGGGAAAAAAATGGATTATCTGGTGATTTTTGATACTGAGTTGCCCCTCACATCAAACACAAACGTTACACATGTGCAAGTTTAGTGTATACATTACTAGCTAGCTATGACTAATGTTTGTTTAATTGATACATTATGTTGTGTCACTAGATGAAAATTGGCTTCAGCACTGAATTAATCTTAACAGATGCAACCAACCATTAAGTCACAGACATGTCAGTCAAGCACAGTCTTTCCATGCCCACACAGTCCTGAGAAGAGTTCTAATCAGAAAGCAAATATAAAGAGCTGTGTGGGCGGTTGTGTAGGGTATATACAGGATTATTCCCATCCATAGCAAATAACTGCCAAGAAAAGCACAGTACATACTGATCTGCTGTTACGATTAGCTTCCAGTTTGTCCCACTGCTGCCCTTAAGTTAAAATTCTCACTTGCTGTGATCTCAAAGTACAAATACTTAGAGACCTAATTACAACACCTTTTGTTACTAGAAATTTCTTTTAAATTCTTACATCCTACAATTTAACCATAAATTGGTTAAATTGTAGCTTGTGTGTAATTGTAAAAGTTGTACTCCTACTTTATATTTCTGTGGTACTATTAGTGTTGTTTAGACATCGGTATCACTTAAAATTACCACCTGTTCAATAAAATCAGAACCTCCAGTTGTTCTGTGTAACTGTTCGGCCTGTGTGTATAATATGATACACTATATGGACAAAAGTATTGGGACACTCCTCTTAATTATTGAATTCAGGTGTTTCAACCAGACCCATTGGCACAGGTGTATAAAATCAAGCACCTGGCCATGCAGTCTCCATTTACAAACATTTGTGACACAAAATGGGTCATTCTGAAGAGCTCAGTGACTTCAAGTGTGGTACTGTGTTATGATGCTACCTTTGCAATAAGATAGTTGGTGAAATTTCATCCCTGCTGGATATTCCATGGTCAACTGTAAGTGGTATTACTGGAAAGTGGAAGCATTTAGGAACAACAGCAAGTGAGCCATGAAGTGGAAGACCACATAAAGTCACAGAGCAGGGTCAACGACTGCTAAGGTGCATGTTGTGTACATGTCGCCAACACTCCAACCTATTGTAAGCACAAAAACTGTCCAACAGGAGCTTCATGGAATGGGTTTCCATGGCCGAGCAGCTGCATGCAAGCCTCACATCACCAAGTCCAATGCCGAGTGTGGGATGGAGCGGTGTATAGCACACCGCCACTGGACTGCGGAGCAATGGAAATGTGTTCTGAATCACACTTTTCTGTTTAGCAGTCAGATGGGCGAATCTGGGTTTGGGAGAACATTACCTGCCTAACTCCACCCTGCCAACTGTGAAGTTGGGTGGAGGAGGGATATTGGTATGGGGCTGTTTTTCAGGGTCTGGGCTAGACCCCTTACTTCCAGTGAAGGGCAGTCTTAATGCTACAGCATAACAAGACATTTTGGACAACACTATACTTCCAGCTTTGTAGAAACAGTTTGGGGAAGGCCCTTTTCTATTACAGCATGAGTGTGCCCCAGTGCACAGAGCAAAGTCCATAAAGACATGGTTGGATGAGTTTGGTGTGGAAGAACTTGACTGGCCCGCAGAGAGCCCTGACCTTAAACCCATCAAACACCTTTGGGATGAACTTGAATGGAGATTGTAAGCCAGGCCTTCTCATCCAACATCAGTGCCTGACCTCATAAATGCTGTACAGAATGAATGGGCACAAATTCCCACAGAAACACTCCAAAACCTTGTGGAAAACATTCCAAGAAAAGACGAATCTGTTATAGCTGCAAAGGTGGGATCAGCTCCATATGAAAGTCTGTATATTTTAATGCAATGTCATTAAAGTCACTGTTGGTCTAATGATCAGGCTTTTGTCCATATAGTATATATTTAAATGATGAAACTTGTAATTTTGGAAGCAAATTAAACAAAATAAAAACATAAATAAAAAAATACTTTACAAAAACAAACAAAAAGAAAAGAACAGATTAAGGTCACATTAGAATTTGCTCAAATTTCACTTAGTTGAGTTTTTTAAAGCTTCTTTTTAAGTAGTTATTTAATGACAAAGTACAATAACATCTTTATGTAGACAGTAGCTCTTATTTGTACATAAATAGTATTTCACTTCTGTTATGGTTCAGGATTTGGAGGGGGCAGGTGTGGGCCAACACCGGTCTCTCTAGCTGTAGAGAGTTGATAACAGAAGGAACAACACATAAGCTATGAACAAACTAACTGTCATAAGATAACCTTAGCACCTTTAATTAAGAAGTTCAGCAGTTGTAAGTATAATTGCATAAAGGCCCCCAGCCATACAACATATAGAAACAGCTGTCTGAATGTTGGAGGGCTTTGTGGAAATGCACACTGGATAATATAGACTGAGAGAGACACAGAGACAGACAGAGAAATATTGACAGAATTAGACTGGAGTGTATGTCTGGGGAATAGAGAATATGGGTAGGCGTAGAGCAGGGGGGTGGGGGAGGAACTGTTTGTGTGTTCAATATCACGTTCTGTCAGAAGCTGTAATATCTCTTCCATTTCATTAGATGCTACATGAATAGATTTGACATCAATCAGCGCCCGCTCGGCTGAATGAAAGAGAAGTGCATCAGAGAACATCATGGAACAAGGTTGCAGTTTGTACGCACTGACTGTACAATGTTAACCTGGAGGTCAGTAAAATGAATCACATCCCAGCTTATATCCAAATTCTATAACAGATATATAACAGTAACACTGTCGGTAATCAGTGACGGGGACTTACAAAAAGCGTGAGCATTTTCCAAGCCATACATCAGGGTTATTACTTAATACATGCAGTTTCTCACCTTCCAACATGGACACGAACACAACAAACAACATGACCAGTTCTTACTGTCAGCTGTTTCACGTAAGTTTCAAGATGACAGTTTCATCCCATGATAGGAATGAAAGTGAATGTGTGAAGGAAGGGCAAGAATTTTTTTTTAAACTTTAATGGTATTAAGATGTTCAAAGTGCATCCAAACTTCACATGTAAAAGGCTTAGAAACAACAGCTTCATTCACCATAAATATTTAATAAGGCAATGCACGTGGAGCCACTGAAGGCTCGACTCTCCATTCCCATTCCCAGTGAGGAAGTGAAGATTTTTTTTTTGTTATTTTTATTTATTTATTTATTCGTTTGCAGTGGTGGATACTGACCGGAGTTGACAGTGCCATCTTTGTTGATGGAGGCAAGGACACAGGGAAGTGGCTCAGTACTTTTCTGTTGAACCTTGTCACTGGACAGTAGTTTGAGCTGCTGCGACGTGACTGGTGGGAAGCGATAGAACTGAAAGGTGAAGTAGATGCTGCCAGGCCAATCAGGACCAACACCCACTGCTGGAATTCTGTCAAAACACAAAGGCAGATGATTATTCAGAAAACAATGCTGAGTGCAATAATAATAATATGCACAAGTGTATGTCATTTACTACAGTGAATATTTTTAATTCACTTCTAACTGTGATGTTTTGATTACATCATTAATCTTTGTGGGGACTGGAGCGGTGTGCACGGTTGAAAATTAATGGTTGAAAATGTCACAAAAAACCTGTGGGAGTAAATCGCATTTCAGCTAATGATTTACTTCAGACAATTCCCCTAAAGAAAAAATCAAATATGCATTTTTTTATGCCCCACCAGTAATTCAGCTTTACAGCCACTTGTAAGTGAAAACCTAATCATGAAAATGAGGATTAGAATTTAAAAGGGTAAATCATGCCTTAAAAGTGGCTGTAATTTGGACTGCTGATTATACCTTTGATTCATGATAAGTTGATAGCTTGACTTCTTCTTTAAAACTCATTACAATACATCTGTGGAAGAGGGGAAATCTTGTCTGTTGAAATATGGTTATATTCTAGGTTATCTGTTAAGACAATGCTTTCTTTTTTATTCTTTATTTACTAGGACCCCTATTGAGGAAATAAAATACTCTGTGTGAGTACCAAAACCTGCTGGGGTTGTGTATTTTTTTTTCACACAAACACCTCTCTCTGAGTGCGATTTTACACATGTGCACACATAAAACTAAACACACACTTCAAACTGTGGATGACCCACAAAAGGTCTCAGTGAGCCTGCATGCACCACATGAGATAATACACAGATTTCAGGATGTGCATCTTTCTGTTTCTGTCCAATGAATAGATTAGCAACCAGTCACCAGTATTTAACAATAGAGAAACAGAAATGGCATCTGAAATCAAGCAGCAAGTGCTTGTAGGCGCCCCATGATGGGGGACAGGCTGTCAGAACTGGAAATTTCAAAGTGGAATCAAATAAGAGCAGCGTGTGACCTCCCAGTCAATCACAGGCTCTGATATTCCACTGTTAAAGATGCTCCATCTTCACAGAGGAGCCAGCATTAATATTCATTGTGTAAACAGACAAGATTGATAATTTTGGCGCCCGGGTGAGAGGTCGAAATCACACAGCATATCCACTGGCTCCCTGCTTGCCTAAGTGCTACTGCTGCCTACACTCTTGCCTGCCATATCTGTTTGTCATAATTATGAGGTAACCCCCACCCCACTCCACAGAAAGCCACAGAGATTGGTGCTTAAGTGTGTGGTTTCAGGTCACACTCCAGATGGCCCTTAGGGTAGCCTTGAAAAAGAGGAAGAATAATCAAATAAGTTTTTATACCTTCATGACACATAAAGTTAAAAAGTTGTGCTTTCTGATATTAAAATATAACTAGGTTTTCACTCCCAAATGTTCTCCCAACTCGCCTGCAGAAATGAAGTGATTTAATAGCCTGTTTGGAATAAACAGGAGAGTGATGCTGTGCTGGGAAAAGCTGGAGATAGGAAACATGTCATTACTGATCTCTCAGCACAGACTAGGTGGGGAAAACTTTGTGTTAGCTTCACTGCCTAATTTGCAGCACGACTAAAATTGTTAGTTAAACTGGTGCCAGTAGGGTGACATCTTGTTGAAATTTGAGCCCCTTGAAGGATAATTCGGACATTGACAAAACGCAGACAACACAAGTAGTTAAATAATCAGAGAGGTTGTAAACAACACTCCAGGTTAACCAAACTAATAGTTGAACTGTCTGATATAAATTTTCATCACAGTTAACAGACTGACTTCCTGGTTCAACTTTAACCATGTCATACTGGTGGAGCTGTGAGTGCTCACATCATCACCTGAAGATGTTCAAATAAACCGAAATGCTGTTAATTAGTAAATTCTATAGCCTATGTGAAATGGTGTATGGAACACTTCCTCACTGACAATGAAACAAAAGATGAAGCGTTCTCAGCAGTGTTACATAAACAAATGGAATCATGTGAAATATGAAATATCTGTGTCTGGAAATTCAAATCATTTTTGTTTCTAATGTTTGGAGCACCCTGAGGTGAATCAACACAAAGATGATGGAATCTACTGCCACAGTATTTTGATCTACACATACTAATTCAAATTGAAAGCAAATCTGTCTGTTCATACATAGCAATGAGAAGTGCATTATGCATAACAAGCCTCCTACAGCAAGAAATTAAAAACCATTTGTGCACATAGGAAATAGCTACATGGTGGTGAGTCAAGACATATGAACAAGACATATGTGAGCTGGTTTTATCAAACTACTGACAGTGCTGATGACAAGATAGAAGGACACAGTGAGTGGTGTGTTTTGTACACATCGTTCACCAACCCCCACCCCCAACCCTCTATCAGCCCGACAGAGAGAACACTGACTCCAGGGCTTTTGTGCTGGGTTGCTGACAGGAACTATGTTTATAAGTTATTCTGCAATTGTAAGTGTACGTGCATGCCGGATATGGGTATACAGGATGAAAAGCAGGACTTTGTGCCTGGTTTAAATATATTGGTAGCAGCTCAAAACAAAATAAAAGATAAATCTCAAGGCAGGTGGAAGATGCACATACTTGAGACTTGCTTGACTAAGAATGGTAAAAGACTTGACTTCAACTTTGTAGCTAGCAGCTTGGTAGTCCAAAAATAATAAAATATGGATTCAAGGATTACATTGTAGATGAAGGCAGTAAAAAGAAAACAGCAGTATGCAAAGTCTGGAGCACAAAAATCTGCGGCATGTACACCACACCATCTAACTTCATCTATCACTACACACACATCACAAAGAAAGGTAAGTATGTGAATTACTGTATCTAACTGTTCAAATTTTAGCTAGAAAGCTGACATTACGTTTAAGCTGTTAGACTGATTGCACATTTTACTGAGAAGAGTTTCTGATGGTCATGAAAGGCATGCCTTTTTTAATAGCTAAGGATTAGTTTATAGCTGTGCAGATTCTCAGTCATCCAGGTCATAGTAAACTGAAAAAACCTTAGAAAAAATCAACTGGACTTAGATTTCTAGATCGAAGACGTTTCACCTCTCATCCAAGAGGCTTCATCAGTTCTTTTATAGCCTATGCAGTTTATAGCCTATGAATGCGCAGTTAATAATCACAATATCGCAATAGATTTGTGAAATAAGACCACTTTGTGACCATAGTTTCTTAAGGAATTAATGGTAGGTAGGTAGGTAGGTACTTTATTGATCCCTCAATGGGGAAATTTCAGTGTTTCAGCAGCAGTGGAGAACAAACAACATAAAACCATGCGAAACAAACACCATACACATATCTTGATAAACTAATTTCAGTACCTCAAGCAGCAACACCATGAGAACAAGCACCGCACACACATCCTGATAAATAAATTCCAAGTACTCAAAAATAGACAGAATCAAATATTTGAATAATCAAGAACAGAATTTACATATGTGCATATTAACCATGCATTTTACCCCAGGATTTTAGTATTGCACCTCAGCTGACTATTACATAATCCCTCATACTTTCACCTGGCTTATCCTTGCAGTGATGTATTGTACAGTCTGACTGCCGTGGGGAGGAATGACCTGCGGTAACACTCCTTCTTACACTGGGGATGTAACAGTCTTGCGCTAAAGGAACTGTTCAGAGCCTCTACTGTGTGGTGTGGAGGATGGGAGGGGTCGTGCATGATGGATGTTAGTTTTACCAGCATCCTTCTGTCCGCCACCTCCTCGATGGAATCCAGGGAGCAGCCCAGGACAGACCCAGCTCTCTTGACCAGCTTGTTTAGTCTCTTTCTGTCCCTGTCCATGCTACCTCCCGCCCAGCCCACAACAGCATAAAAAACAGCAGATGCCACCACAGTATGCCATAAGACCTCAGTCTCCTCAACAAGTGGAGGCGGCTCTGGCCCTTCTTGTACAGGGCATCAGTTTTTTCAGTCCAATCCATTTTGTTGTTGAGGTGGACGCCCAGGTATTTAAAGGTGTCCACAATCTCAATATCTGAGCCCTGCAATAAAATAAAAACAAATATAAACAGCACTTCTCTCCTGTTTGAATGGCATTTCCTGTTGTGGTTGAACTGGGAGATATGATGGCAGCCATGAAGTTTCTTCCACAAAAACACCTATGGTTAGCTACCAAAAGTGTGTCAGACACATTCCATCTCCCTTTACACTAGCTGGGTGTGTCTCCACTTTGTAGGGCAGAGTTAACCACACAGCAGTGAAAGCAGACACATGCACAAACACTCACGCAGCCTGATAAAATGAGGTCTGTTTGTCCATGTGGACAGGTTAACTGTCCACACCTGTTAACCTGTCCACACCTGCCCCCTCCAACTTCCCCCTCAGCAGTGACGGCTGGATTGTGTTGAAAACACTTGAGAAGTCCAATGCAAACTGCAGCTGGTCGACCGCCGAGCTCACCTGGGCACGAAGGTGGCCAAGGACAATCCTCCCCATGGTCTTCATCAGGTGGGAGGTCAGGGCAACGGGTCTGTAATGGTTCGACTCCTTAGGATGAGGTATTTTGGGAACTGGGACAACACAGGATGTCTTCCATAGGGCTGGGACTCTCTCCAGGCTAAGACTCAGGTTAAAGATGTACAGGACCACCTCACTGAGCTGGTCTGCACACTCCCTGAGGACCCTGGGGCTGATGTGGTCAGGGCCTCCTTAACTCCTTCCTGACCTGGTCTGCCGGGTGGTGACTGCTCAGAAGCTGTGGGATGTTGAGAACCCCCCATGACAGTGGGAGGAGGGGCAAGGTCTGGCTGAGGTGTGAGCAGCTGTGGCTGCAGGGAGACAACTGACCTGGAGAAGTAAGTCGGGGGGGCTGGCAAGGCGAGGGCTGAGGACTGGGTAGAGTCAAATCTATTAAAAAACAGATTCAGTTCATTTGCCCAGGCCTTGTCCCCCGCGACCTGGTGACCATCTTCACTTTTACCATGACCCGAGATATGTTTCAGGCCTGTCCACACCTCACACATGTTGTTATTCTCCATGCTCTGCTCCAGCTTCTTCCTGTAGCTAGCCTTGCACCTCTGGATCATGTATGTTCCTGCTGCACCCTTCTCAGCTCTACCTTGTCCCCTGAGAGGAAAGCCCTCTTCTTCTCATTTAGCAGTACTTTTAACTTGGGGCTCACCCACAGCTTGTTGTTAGGAAAACACCGTATTCTCCTGGATGGTATGGTATTTTCCACAGAGAAGTTTATGTAATCCAAAACACAGTGTGTGAGGCCGTCTAAAGGTGGAAATTGGGCTAGATCAGCAGAATTTTATACAACCCAATTTGTGACTTGCTTGACTCATAGTACTGAAGGGCTTTGACTTGACTTGCTTGATTCTCACTACAGTAACCTGGGACTTGCTTGAGACTTGCACATGTGTCACTTATTCCCACCTTTGATATTTACAGCAACACTTGGGCATATAATCATATGTAACCTTTAAAGCATATAAGCAAAATCTATGCTAATCATTATGACAACCAAAAATACATGTCAGGGTCGGCGCGTAAAGCTGCCAATGATGTCGAAGGTGAACTTGATTAAATTGCCAGACGAGGTTAGGCAAAAACACTGTCTTTTTACTAAGCACAGTACATAGCATACAATGCAATAGTCCAGGAAACACAATCAAAGTCGATATTAACAGTCCAGGGTCAGTGCCGGTCAAACTCACACAGCCAAGGGATCCACAAACGAGAGGTCAAAAAGGGCAGTCCGATAATCGATACACATAAGACAGTCAGAAGCAGGAGGCCAAAACAATACTCTTGTGGTCAAAAACAGAAATCACAGATACAAAAATAATGCCGGAATGTCTGAACATGAGTCTAGAACGATCTGACAGCTTTCCGGTGGGGGAAAGCTGCCTATAAAATAGTGAAAACAATGAATGCTGATTAAAGTAAAAAGTCCAAAAATGACTGTTGACTGCTGCACATGCTGTTCCCATGCAGCATACATTCTGTTATATTCTTATATTTTTCGTATTATATTGCTACATTTTTGCTGCTTAAAGTGCCTTAGATTTTGTTTTACTTATTTATCTGCTTTATATTTCATTTGTATTTTGTGGCATTCATGTGGACGGCAAAGTAAGAATTTCATTGTACAGGGAAACACGTTTCCTAACTTTGCATATGACAAATAAACACTTTGAACTTTGAACTCGAAACTAAGGTGAAACAGAAACAGGAAGCAATGTCAAAATAAAAGCATGAGAACGGAAACAGGCGGGACAGAATCAGGACAATACAACACATACATACAGTACAGTGCATGAGCTATCAGTCAACAGTAACACTGCAAGCCTTACCTGGTAAATGCCAAAAACTGGAACACCAGCAAGTTGCCCTGTAGAACGTCAGTCTCTTCACGCTGGGGGTCAAAGGGCACGGGCTCTGTGGGGTCCAGGACTTCCGCCACCTGCCCACTACAATCCATGATGTTGGGGAAGCCAGCGGAGTAGAGGTAGGCCAGTGAACCCCTGGAGCTGACTGAGCAGGAGCTGAAGGGTTAAATTAGAGGAATGTTCCAAAGTCATGAGTGCATCAGTCATTCGCCAAGCTGAAAAGACTTAAGTGAATGCTGCTCCTGATGCTTTACGAGCAGTGGGAGATAATGTGTTTAGTCCTTGCTGCACCCACCTCACTTGGGTGATATGTGGTTGTAAATGAGGCATAAAAAATGTTTGGATCTGAGTGGAATGCTGTGCTCTTTTATCATTTTATACCCAGTGCTGTTTATCTTAGATCAGTTCCATTCTGACTCAGAAAGTTTATCTTGTGGGAGATAACTTCATTTTAATCGCTTCATGTTGTTAAACCTGAATTGCAACATCCAGCTGGACTTTACAAAAAATGTGGCAAAACAATGATAGACATCATGAGGATGTCAGTGATATCCATCAAGCAGCAGCACCACGAGAACACTTACAGGGGAGAGTGAAAGGATGCCAAAGCTCTCCCTCAGGATTTTCTAGTATAATTGGCAGTTATTTCTAATCATAGTTGCCACCTGTTTTTCTGCAACTATGGTAACATTCATAACTTATACTTTCAGCGCTGACACCGAACACTCTGAGTATGATAAACACAGTGCATGCACAGATGGCTGGCTAAAGTGCAAGTACAGAAAAATGAATGATAATGTTTGGGATTATCATAACACTAACGCTGCCTGTGTCAAGCTGGTAAACAGTCAACCCCACTGCTCACATTTGTGAAAGAATGAAGCCTTGATCAAAGAAATTTAGGTAATAACTGTGAAGAAGACAGTCATCTGGGTTTTCCTCTGCAGGCGTGTCAATTTCAGGCTTTCCGTCTGTTCCCCATCTATCTAGTTATATCTTAATTTAGCCCCAGTGAATTCCTATTCAAGCCATAATTTTTATTTCAGAATGGGATCAATCAGATATGCACAACAGTTTCGGTTAAACCTCTTTAGACTTCATTGTTCTTCTCAGAGAAGTGGGTTATTTCAAACCGAAAGCAGCCACAAAGATGTTTTGGCTCCAAGTTAAGAGGCAGAGATGTTTCAGCCCACTGAACTGAACAGCACTGTGTCTGATTCCAAACTCTGGGATTGGGCAACTGTTTCAATGCCAGCTGGTAATTTAAAGGCTCTCTCTACTAATGCAATGCTTTGATTGTGTGTTACTTTGCCCATTATTTGCAGGGAGTACTTTCTCAGTCTGTGTCCCACCTCAACAGGTCGGGCTACATTAACACTGCCATTAGGATACCCTCTGCAGTTTCTGTTATTAGCTGTGATGTAACTGCGAGTTCATTTCATTACCTTCTGTACAACTAGATTAACGTTAAAACATCTCCTTTAAAGCTGGAATTCATAACAAACAATGCTGAGGCCATTACCCAAAGTGAGATGTAAAAGCTGAGAAAACGATTTCTTTAAAGTGCCTCAGAGCTGACATACAGCTATACTATTACCCAGGGCACACAGGCTGCCAATTAGGGAGCCCATCAATATCCCTCTGTAGATAACATGACATGAACTGAGACCAGTGTTTAAAAGGATTTTTAAAGTGATCATTCATTCAGTAATGTCTCCTATCATATATGAGTAACACTCAGGTCACCCTCCTGTGCTGCAACCACAACAGAAACTGTAGTGAGTTGCTGATAACAAAAAAATATAACTAGGGGAAAAAGAAATATTGTATTAATCTAGGAAGACAAGGTAATACTTTCATATATATGGAATACAAGAGAACATCATTTTACTGAAAAGCAGACCAGGAATTCAATTCCACTCAAGTCAGTTTACAGCTAATGGATTTTCAAGGATACACATCACGAGCATCTATCTATATACTGGCCAGTGCTGACCGTTTCCTAACAGTTGGCCTCTTTATTGCAATTTGTATTACACAGCTGATGCCAACACCAACATACAGTACATGAAGTGGCATTAACCTACTCCTCACACAGGATCAGGAACAGTTTTAGTGTGAGAGAGGAGAAGGTGAGATGTCAGCCGTTCCAGATACCGAATTTAAGATCAATTTCTGCAAATATTCAAGGCAAATAAAAAATATAGCAAAAACAGATTATTTCTACCTGAACAGGGGAAAAACAAGTTATAAAATTAAATGTTTAAGGATATAATGTCCAGCATCACTAAGGCTGTCAGCCACTTGTCGGCCAATTACAAGTGACCTCCATTTGTCTTTTTTCCTTATCAATTCAACTATTACTTCATGCAATTGCAACTACATTTAATCACACATTTAAACATATTTTGGGATTTTTGTCTTTTAAACCTGATCATATTTGTTCATAGCAGCTTCAACAAAACTGTCCTGAGGATGTTGTTCAGGATAAAAATGTTTTTACTTTCTAAAACAGATTGTTCCCCATATAAGTAGATCACAGGAACGGCTCACCTAGGTGCATTCATCCCTAGAGTGATAACAGGAGCATGGACAGGAGTGAAGGGCAGCTCCTGAAGCTGC